ACCTTCCCTTTACATAAACTATTATTTCATGTAAATGAATAGGACAATGCACACTATCCGTTTCGTTTCCCTTCCGTTCCATATCCTTTCCTTTCGTAAGGATTGAAGTTAGAGAAGTTCAACAAATTAGGCAAAGAAAATAAAGTCCTCCTACTCTGGGTGCCTGCTCACCAAGGGATAGAAGGCAATGAAAAAGCAAATGATCTAGCTAGGAAAGGAGCGAACACTTCACTAACTGGACCAGAACCCTTCTGTTTTCCGAACGGGAACCAACTGAAAGCGGAACTGAAGAATCTGGAAGACACCATCCGTAACTTGGAATGGGTGTCCTCCAACAGTCTAAGACACTCGAAAAAGTTCCTCAGAACTTACTACCGAGAAAAATCAAAGGTTTTTCTTGATTTAAGTAAAAACAATCTTCGGATTGTCACGGGGTTTCTAACAGGACACTGTCTCCTCAACGAACACCTCACTAGGCTGAATCTGAGAAACAACGGCGAATGCAGATTCTGTGGGGAAAATGGGGAAACACCAGAACACCTTATCACTGAGTGCGCGAAGGATTAAAAATAGATGGAGAATATCTTAACCATCTAAGATTCGCTGGTGACATAGTCTTAATTGCTAGTAGTCCTAAAGAACTACTTGCACAAATTAATGAACTAAATACAGCCAGCAATAAAGTGGGTCTCAAAATGAATCTAGCAAAAACTAAAGTAATGTACAACGAACTAGTGGAAAGAAAGGACATTCAAATAAATAACACAACACCAGTGGCGTAACTATCGATGTGCCGTGTGTGCGAAGCACACGGGCGTATTTCCATATCTATCACATGCTATCGCGAATCAAGCAGAATCGGGCGATCCCGAACTAAGTTTTTATCTATATGTCTTCTTAACTACTTAACTAGCACACGCTATCGCGAAAATAACTTATTACTTTACACTTGTTCTTGCGCAATTTTTTAGCTGTGTTTTCCTTTTTATTTTGCAAAATAAAAATAACTGGAAATATGTGATTTTTCATTAGAGCATTAAATTTGACAAAAAGGAAATTTGCTGTATTGTCACTGGATTTCTGTACCATCAAATAGAAATAGAACTAAGCTAGTTTAGCATCAAAAAGAGCATGAAAAATTATACTGGCCAAACTAGTTAACTCAAAATCACAAAATCTCTAGTTACCTAATGGTTGTATTAAGGGAACGATAAGGCAGCTCAGTTACGAGAGGTGCCCGAAACTGCCACTTTTTTTTTAAATCACCCTGTAGCTCAGTAACTAAGAGGGTCATGACAAATCATATTAGGGCAGCTCTCATTTTGTCAAAAAGTAGCCGACTATTGTGAAAACCTATTCATAAGGGCAACAAAACACATGAAAATGGGATATATACCCTGTAGGTACAAAGTATTCCATTCGTAAAAAAATATCTATTATAGCACCCTGCATACGAAGGGCATAAAAAATTGCTATAGCACTTAATATAATTTGTCCTTGCTTCAAATAATATCGCGATTACCTCTGCTGGTTACTGGTTATGACGGCAATTCCCAATACTTCTTTCTTAACATGTTCATGTTCCTATTTCCATTGTATATTTTAATTTAGTTAGTTTTGTTGTTGTTTTTTATTTTGTATTTATTTATTTTTTCGTATATGTTACTACTTATGTATACTACTTTCTTGGTATCCAAATCAATAATCTTATATCAAGTTTTATTACCCACCGCGGAGTATTTGAAGTAGTGAGTTTCCAAAACTCTATGGAGATCAGAACTCCGAGCAATAAAATATTAAAAAGTACTAATCTTTTGATTTAATAAATTGATTTAATCAATGGTTGGTAGTGATAGAGCAACTAAACGAACAATTCATAATTCCTTTAGTTGCAATGTATACGTAACTTTTTGAATCTCCCTCGTATTCTAAAAGAATATTTATTACAGTGAAACGTTATTACGTTTCCATATGTTGATGTTATGCTGGATTTAGTACTCGCATATATTTCACTACTTTCTTGGTATCCGAATCAAAAACCATATATCAAGTTTTATTACCCACCACGGAGTATTTGGAGTAGTGAGTTTCTAAAACTTCTATGGAGATCAGAACTCCGAACAATAAAAGATTAAAAAGTAGTAATCTTTTGATTTAATCAATGGATGACAGTGATGGACCAATTAAACGAATAATTCATAATTCCTTTGTTGCAATGTATACGTAACTTTTTGAATCTCCCCCGTATTCTAAAACAATATTGATTACAGTAAAACGTTATTACATTTACTTAGTGATGACAGTAAACTGCATTTAGTACTCTCATATATTTTACCACATTCTTGGTATCCAAATCAATAATCATATATTAAGTTTTATCACTCACCACGGAGTATTTGGAATAGTGAGTTTCCAAAACTCTATGGAGATGAGAACTCTGATCAATAAAATGTTAAAAAATAGTAATCTTTTGATTTAATCAATTGATTTAATCAATGGATGATAGTGCTGGAGCAACTAAACGAACAATTCATAATTCTTTTGTTGCAATGTATACGTAAGTTTTTGAATCTCCCTCGTATTCTAAAACAATAATCATTACAGCGAAACGTTATTACATTTACTTAGTGATTACAGTATTTAGTACTCTCATATATTTCACTACTTTCTTGGTATCCAAATCAGAAATCATATATCAAGTTTTATTACCCACCACGGAGTATTTGGAGTAGTGATTTTCCAAAACTTTATGCAGCACAGAACTTCAAACAATAAAAGATTAAAAAGTATTAATCTTTTGACCTAATCAATGGATGACAGTGATGGAGCAACTAAACGAATTATTCATAATTCCTTTTTGCAATTTATACGTAACTTTTTGGCTCTCCCTCGTATTCTAAAAGAATATTGATTATAGTGAAACGTTATTACATTTCCTTAGTGATGATATTATACTGATTTAATCAATGGCTGATAGTGATGGAGCAGCTAAACGAATAATTCATAATTCCTTTGTTGCAATTTATACTTAACATTTAGAATCTCCCTCGTATTCTAAAAGAATATTTATTACAGTGAAACGTTATTACGTTTCAATATGTTGATATTATGCTGGATTTAGTACTTGCATATATTTCACTATTTTCTTGGTATCCGAATCAAAAATCATACATATATCAAGTTTCATTACCCCCCATGGAGTATTTGGAGTAGTGAGTTACCAAAACTCTATGGAGATCAGGACTCCGAACAATAAAAGATTAAAAAGTAGTAATCTTTTGATTTAATCAATGGATGACAGTGATGGAGCAATTAAACGAATAATTCATAATTCCTTTGTTGCAATTTATACTTAACATTTAGAATCTCCCTCGTATTCTAAAAGAATATTTATTACAGTGAAACGTTATTACGTTTCAATATGTTGATATTATGCTGGATTTAGTACTTGCATATATTTCACTATTTTCTTGGTATCCCGAATCAAAAATCATACATATATCAAGTTTCATTACCCACCACGGAGTATTTGGAGTAGTGAGTTTCTAAAACTTCTATGGAGATCAGAACTCCGAACAATAAAAGATTAAAAAGTAGTAATCTTTTGATTTAATCAATGGATGACAGTGATGGAGCAATTAAACGAATAATTCATAATTCCTTTGTTGCAATGTATACGTAACTTTTTGAATCTCCCTCGTATTCCAAAACAATATTGATTACAGCGAAACATTATTACATTTACTTAGTGATTACAGTATTTAGTACTATCATATACCTATTTCACTACTTTCTTGGTATCCAAATCAATAATCATATATCAAGTTTTATTACCCACCACGGAGTATTTGGAGTAGTGAGTTTCCAAAACTCTATGGAGATGAGAACTCTGATCAATAAAATGTTAAAAATAGTAATCTTTTGATTTAATCAATTGACTTAATCAATGGATGATAGTGATGGAGCAACTAAACGAACAATCCACAATTCCTTTGTTGCAATGTATACATAACTTTTTGAATCTCCCTCGTATTCTAAAACAATATTGATTACAGCGAAACGTTATTATATTTACTTAGTGATTACAGTATTTAGTACTCTCATATATTTCACTACTTTCTTGGTATCCAAATCAATAATCATATATCAAGTTTTATTACCCACCACGGAGTATTTGGAGATGTGAGTTTCCAAAACTCTATAGAGCACAGAACTTCAAGCAATAAAAGATTAAAAAGTAGTAATCTTTTGACTTAATCAATGGATGACAGTGATGGAGCAACTAAACCAAAATTCATAATTCCTTTATTGCAATCTATACGTAACTTTTTGAATCTCCCTCGTATTCTAAAAAAATATTTATTACAGTGAAACGTTATTACATTTCCTTAGTGATGATATTATACTGCATTTAGTACTCGCACATATTTCACTACTTTCTTGGTATCCGAATCAGAAATCATATATCAAGTTTTATTACCCACCACGGAGTATTTGGAGTAGTGAGTTTCCAAAACTCTATGGAGCACAGAACTTCAAACAATAAAAGATTAAAAAGTAGTAATATTTTGACTTAATCAATGGATGACAGTGATGGAGCAACTGAACCAAAATTCATAATTCCTTTATTGCAATCTATACGTAACTTTTTGAATCTCCCTCGTATTCTAAAAAAATATTTATTACAGTGAAACGTTATTACATTTCCTTAGTGATGATATTATACTGCATTTAGTACTCGCACATATTTCACTACTTTCTTGGTATCCGAATCAAAAATCATATATCGAGTTTTATTACCCACCACGGAGTATTTGGAGTAGTGTTTCCAAAATTCTATGGAGATCAGAACTCCGAACAGTAAAAGACTAAAAAGACTAAATTAATGATACCATTCGTTCCGCACAGAAGATAAAAAGAGGAAAACTTGAAATGGGGGAGTGGCGACCGGGTTGCGCAGGCGTCTCGGTGCCCTCTCGCATCTAACCGGTCGGCTTGTTTTCGAGGCCACTAGCCTACCAGTTTCGTGTGCTTCGACATAATAACAGAGAATGCACGACATCTGCATTTTGGATTTCGGAAATATACACAGCGTTTGACTAGAATTAATTTGTTCAAAGGTAAGTTTATTGGTCGTTTATGACGGGAAAAACCAAAATTCGTTTCGGCGCCAGACAAGGACTAGTGTGTATTGTTTCGGGGCCGGCGTGTTTTCTTTGAGGTATTCAAGATGGCGTCCGTCCTAGTGATCACGCCAGGATTGTGTTCGGAGCAGTGGTGGGGGTAGTTTTGAGGTTATTGTGAATGATTGTGAAGTGATTTTGGTGTTTGCGTGCGCATTATCCCGAAGTTAATTTCTCTGGAATTTTAAATAGAGGATAACAAGGCACACAGGACCGTATTATGGAAGTTTTGTTTAATTTAAAGGAATTTATGGTTTGTTTTTGCGAACAATTAATGCATATATGAATTTAGTAATGTGTTCAATTTGCATTATTGCCTTTATGTAAATTACTATGTAGTATAAAAACTGACTCAGGTCCGTATTAAGCATAGATTCGTCTAAATTAGAAAGAAACTATTGATTGTTTTTGGAAGCGGTTTTTAAATTTATATTGTTATCTCCGCGTAATTAACATGACGTTTAACGTGCTTAGCCTACGTAAAAACGTGGCACAGGTCCGTATTAAGGATATATTTGCATTCTTTTTAATTTACTTTTTCATCTAAAGTCAAGTTTTACATATTAACTGTCAACACGAGTTTTAAGGTTTATAAAGAATATACAGTTTGAATAAAGGTAGAATTGCAAAAACAAATAATTCAGTGAATGACAAAAGTAATACAAAATTTGCTTTTAGTTGTACCTGTCGTTCAGATATTTATATAATTTGACCAATGATTTAAATCAGACGTAGAAGTGATATATACCAAAGATGGCTGGGAAATGACAATCGATAATTTTGCCGGGGTCAATCTCTAGAGATCATTTATTTAATATTATTATAAGAAATTTATTATAGAAAGGTTAAAAAAGGATAGCGACGTTTCCAGACACAAATCTATTTCCAAGAAATTATTTTACTCGAATTTTAAACTATACCATTTAAAAATCATTTTTAAAGGCCAACTGGCAGTAAGCGCGATTAAATTATTAAGAAGAATACGGGTCAAGTAGTGACGTCTAGGGCTTGACCTCGCCAAAATTATTATCGATTATCATTCCGCAGCCGTTTTTGATGCCGTTTTTTTTTCGATCGTATGGTATATAAAAATACGTAAATAAAGGTAGTTGTATTTATCTATTGGCAACGTATGAATATTTTGTTGGCGTTGATTGACACGATAGATTGTTGTGAGTTTTCTCATTTTTTTGCAGTCTGAACACGGTAATCGTGTTCTAAGTAGGTAGTTACGGATTTGACGGTCTTCTCACATATTTATAGGATTTTTTGTGTGACAATTTTGAAAGCAGTTAATTTTTATTAATGTGATATTAGATAAATAATGATAATATAGATAATGTATTTAAAATACCCGTTCTCGACTAGCTACTAGATTTTTAACGTTATACAATACGTTCGAAAAAATAACGGCATCATAGTTAGCTGGTAAATGTCATCGATGGTAATTTCCACTCCATTTTAATTGGGGACAGTTTTTTCGTTTTTTTTTTTAATATATCATATATATGCTAAGGAAGGAAATGGCTAGAGTTAAGGGAGGCTTTTGTTCAGCAGTGAACGGCATTCTCATTAAGAATCTTTGTCTTCTTTCAATAGGAAGTAACATTGTTGCAAACGGGTTTACCTTCCACGTTACGAATATTAATAAAGTTTATTGTAAATATAAAGTATATAACATAACAACACATTTTCAACGAGAATTTGTTAATTTAGCTAATTTGAATAGTTATTAAAAACATTGGAAACACAGAGTATAAAACATCCAAATAAGAAAAACCCTTAAATGGTATAGAATGTTTGATAAAATAATTGCAGAAAACATTAAGCAACATATTATTATAACATTAAGCTTCAATATTATCACAAATAAGATACTAAAGAATTGAAACTGCATTTACTGAAAAACACAAAATTGTTAAAACACATTTACATAGAGTGGGGTTTCTTAGAAATGAATTTACACTAAGCCAAAACCACAATATTCAAAAAAAGGGTACAAAAAAATCATTATTTTTTTATTTTAATCAGATATTTTTTGATTTTAATCAATTTTCTATTTAAAGTAAAGTAAAAGTAAAGATTTCAGTTAACGTCTCCTTTTTACTGCCAGGGCTAATCTTTGTTTACGCGGAATCCGAACCGCGTTCCTCGGCCATATCATGGTCAGTGGCCTACCGACTTAGGAAGTGTCTAAATTAACTCTTACTCACGAGATATCCGATCTCATCCGGCCTCGAACCGCCGTGAATGAGCAGTGTGTATCAATAGATTTTACACTTTTCCCTTGGACAACAGCACGATACAGAGTTTCGAACCGGTCACCGATCAATCCACCAGTATCGCCTTACGTCGCTTAACTTCGGTGCTCTAATGGGAACCGGTATTTCAACGTAGCTGCCCAATTTTCTGTTTTTTTTTTCTATTTAATCTCCTATTTCTAAATGGCTAAATCTTTGTAACTCTGCCCGATATTGATAATATTAACATTTCTACGGTGGGTGTCGTTTTTCCACATCGGTCACCGATAAATTTTATTCTGGTAATTTTGCCGATGCCTCTATTTCCGCAAAAAAATCGGCCGCTTAGATCACAGGGATTTTTTTGGAAATATGACGTTGACACAAATTAACTACAACAGATGCGAAAGATCACCGAATTCCGCGTTCAGGTTTTTGTGGCCTTCAGAAAGAGTTCATAGACAATCCGCATCAATGTATAGTTTGGGTTATTATTTGTTTGGGTGAAAATATAATCTGCACCAATATATTATCGAGGCATATAATCTCTCAAAAATTTAATAGATTGCTCGTCATATTATATCATTTCGTAGGAGATTAGGAAAAAAAGATATTTATAGTATGAAAAATTAATTTATTTAACAAAATGTAATTAAAGATGTGACAAAATAGTTACTTTTCTATTGGTTCTATCGGACTTTTTTCGACTATATAAATCTTCATTTTTTGTAAACTTTAATGCATAAAATATTTTCAATCTAATAAATAATTTAATGATGTAAATAAGACGAAATTTCTCACATGGGTGGTCAAATTCTATAGTTTTCATTATATCAAACAGCCTCTGAATGTTTTCTTCAGTGCAAAACTCATCAAAATTTAATATAAATAATTTTTCCGGCCTGTAAATAAAATGAACAAATTTTTCCACTTTCATGATCAAAGGCTTTTAAATGGGTAAATAATTTCGAGTTATCCAGAGATTCGGATTCTTTTGTAAATTTTAGACAAATATCACATTGATGTATTTGAAGACCCTTTTTAATGATGTAGTCAAACATAATTAAAGGCATTTTGAGTTGAAAACATTTTTCAGCGGCTGTTTGATATAATGTAAACTATAGAATTTGACCACCCATGTGAGAAATTTCCTCTTATTTACATCATTAAATGATTTATTAGATTGGAAATATTTGATGTATTAAAGTTTACAAATAAAGATTTATATAGTCGAAAAAAGCCCGATAGAACCAACCAAACTATTTTGTCACATTGTTAATTAAATTTTGTTAAATAAATTAATTTTTTATACTATAAATATCTTTTTTTCCTTATAAATAAACACATTTGTATCCCATTTTAAATAAGATATACAAATTACCAAAACTTAGAAATAACAGTTCAAAAAGTTCAACAAAAACCTACACGCGTTTTTAAAAGAAACATATAACCACGCACTATGTCACTCCAGCAAGCGAATACGACACAGCATAGGTTTCCGGACTAAACGACTGGTGTATTTACACCACTCAATAGGCGTGTCGGGTTTGCCGAACGGTTTCCGATGCAGTCGCTTTCTTTCGCATCTGTTTGTTATAGGTAATTTGTGACGTTGATATGAAGATAATGACAGTCTTTTAAGTCTAGAATAAAATTAGTACCATCTAATGTTCAAAGTGCAAAGTACTTATTGCAGAACAAAATGTCGGTAGAAGTTTGGAATGAACTAGAAGATAAATTGGGGAAGGCGGAAGTTTGCTTGATCAACATTCGGCTGTTTCAAAAAAGGTATAAAACAGCCGTGACACCAGCTTATCTTTTGACATTGATTAGTCCTCGGGAATAAAAATATAACCTGACATCAGAAGAAACTAGTCCTGCATTATAGTTTGCGAATGAAATGTATTCCAATACCGGATTTCTGGCACTTCACAATTTCAAAATAAATCTCTGCCATTTAGAAGTGTAATGGATTCACATGAAATAACTTCAAAATTTCGATCTATTAAAATCTTTAAACGTTACAACAGCAAGTGTAACTTAACTGTACTTATCTGATGAATAGATATAGGGTATATTTGATATAGGAATATTTTTTATAGCTTTATAGGAAAAGTTTTTATAATTTTTACAGTTATCTTTCGATTTATCATAAGTTTTTAAGCAAGTTGATTTGATTTTGATGATATTTAAATCCATGATTAAAATAAAAAAAATCCGTTGATTTAAATCATTGCACCCTGTTCAAGAATTTAGAAATTAAATTATTGATTAAGAATGGAAGTAGGTAATAGTGGCAATACACAAAGATCACTGTTTCCAATTTGAAATTTTCTTATTCAACTTTCTACACAAGAGAATAAGTAAGAAAATGAGAAACTGGTACGAGATTTGAGATTTAGAGAAAGAGAATATACCGTTACAGCACTGTTCGCGCATGAGCCTTGTCTAATGGTCTTGCAGTTTCGTAACAATCTCCCTAGGCACCTCTCTCCGCTGTGCTTCACCAGCGGTGCCCGATTTATTTCTGTCTGCTTCTACTGCTTGGCAAAATTGTTTTCATACCAGGCGCGTTAAAAAAGTACAACGCGATCAAAAAGTTTTACTGAATCTGGTAGACAATTATTCAGACAATTTAAACTTAAAGCAATTCGGACTTCTGTGGCCTTTATAAATAAATAAATAAATAAATGCCCT